CGGCGGCCAAGCCCCAGTGTTTGGGTGGCGCGCGGTGACCCCGCCTCCACCCTCGCGCGCCTCCCTACGTATTGGCTCCTGCCTTCCTGGCCCCGCCTTCCCGGGCCGAGGCCTGCCTGCCGAACTCCGCCCAGCCAAGGTACAGCGGTGTGGTAGGCGCTAGCCGCCGAGGACTCGGTGATGGACAGGTTCGTGGCCCCACCCCCTCAGCCGTAGCGCGCCCCTGCCTCCACAGAGGAGCACACGCGGATTGGAGAGAAGGAGCCCCTGGTGACGCCAATCAGAAGGCGGCCCCTCCTCCCGCACGTGGCCTGAGGACGCAGGAGAAGAGCGCATCGCTTCCACCGTTCCCCGGCCAGACTGGTGTCCTCTGTCCCGAGTCCTTCGATTTGGATGCTAGCTACTCTCTTCGTTGATATTGTTGCACACTCTGATTTTTTTATGAAGAATTCAGACACTCACAGTTATGATAAAAAGAAGAGAACTGCGAAAACAAAAGAGATACCCGAAAAGGCTGAAGGTCAGTTGGCATGAACTAGGCTAACTCCCTTGAAAGACTCGGATGGGAGAACGTCCGAAATGAAGGCCTGACAATAAACCAGTCTGACCCTTAACAGTAGGGCAAAAACTAAGGTGCTGAGCGCCGAGTGAGGTGGCACATACCTGTAATCCCAGCACTCTGGGAGGCTGAGGCAGGATTGTTTTGAGTTCAAGGCCAACTTTGGGTGGATAGTGAGTTCAAGGACAACAGGAACTACACAGCAAGCCCTTGTCCCCAGCGCACCCCCCAAAAAAACACCTGAAGTGCAGACACCTGGTATCTAGGCCCAAAACCAAACTAAATTATCGCAAGCAAATTTAATTTATTTTATTGTTTTGAACTTCAGTTTTTTGGTTTTTTTTTTTTTTAACCTGGAATGCTTGCATTATATTCCTGTGACACCAGCAGCTTTAAAGTCCAGTAATTTTTCTAAAGTGGAATTGGGGGGTGCGGTGCGTGGTGGTGCACACCCATAATCCCTGCACTCCAGAGGCTGAGGCCGGAGTATTGCCACAAGTTAGAGGCCAGTCTGGGCTACATAGTGAATTCAAGCCCCGCCTAAATGTGCAACAAGACCCTGTCTCAAAAAATAAATAAAATGCAATTTAATAAAATCTCTAGCACATTCCTAGCTGTGACACACAGCATAACTCTAGATATCCAAAGGACAGCCCACTTTGACCCTCTCATTTTGAAGAACACCTGATGTGTCCACATGAAACAATATCAAGGGCTTCTCCTGTTTAAAAAAAAACAAAACTGTCAAAATAAATAATTTGTCACCATATTTGCAATGAGAAATATGGAGTTTTATTGCTCTTTGAAAAGGCATGAAAATCAAGTTTTTAAACATTTCTTTTTTTCTTTTTTTTGGACTGGGAATCAAACTCATGAACTTGTGCTTACCAGGCAGGCGGTTGTGCCACTGAGCTAAAACCCTGGCCCAAGTTTTTAAACAGAAATACATCCCAGTGTGGTGGTACAGGTCTATAGTCCCAGCTCCTCGGGAGGCTGAGGCAGGAGTTGGAAGCTAGCCCAGGAAACAGGGCAAGACCCCACCCATCTCAAAAAATGGGTATATATGTATTATAGATGATATACATTATATATATGTACTTTGAAAATTTAGAAAGAAAATGTCGATAGATAGATAGATAAAGCTTTTGTAAGCGCCACGTTCAGACGTGTTCGCCATTTGGCAAAGTGTCTTTGAAACGGACCCTGGCACAGAACTCCCATCATCATAGACCTTCGCTGTTTCAGCTCCGTGCCATGTAACAACTCATCCTAGCACTGTTGTTAGACTTCTAAACAGTAAGCTCCATGTCAGCACCCCAGTGCCTCACGCATTGCCTGGCACACATGGCAGTGTGATAAATGTTCAGTCAATGCGTGATGCATGCATCTTCGCCAGTGCCACCAAATGATTCTTGTGAAGTTCACTCAGAAATGGACACATTCTTATTGTCCTTAACATCACCCATGTCATGGCTGCCCCTGCCATCTCCTCTCTGGGCAGACTTCTCATTTCTTTCCCTATAGGATTCTGGATGTATAAAATTTTAGCCGCTTCTGTTCTTTCCTTGGCTCTGTTCCTCCTCTGCTCAACTCTCATATCACCCTCCAAATTGTAATCCCTGTGAAGATCACAGTGTGTTTTATTGTCAACCAAACTGACAACATTTGTAGCTTCTTTATTACTCCCTGTTTTCAAAAACTAAAAGGGTTATTTCATCCAAATGAGCACACACAAGTAAATACACCTATGTAGAAATGGAACAAGGTTCCCATGGTGTACATTCTCTTTTCCTTTCTACTCTGATTTGCTTTTATAAAATGCTGGTCACTGCCCACTGAATTGATTGCACAACCCACTAATGGATTGTAATCTGCAGTTTGACAAATGATGGTCTAAATCAGTGCTTTGCAAACTTTATTGCACAAAAAACTCATCTGGCTACTTCGCTAAAGCAGACTGATGATGTTGGTTCTTCCTCTAAATCTCAGGCCACTTTTGTAGAAGCACTGCTCTAATTGATTCTTTCCTGCCCAGGAGCGGAGCTGTTGCTTAAATGTCTCAGTGACTCTTCAAGGACCAGAGCGCCAGCTCCTTAAAATTTCTAATCTGAAGGATTTTCTTGATGTTGTTTTGTTTGTTTTTCCTCTGGAGTTTATCCAGAGCCTTGAACATGTTGGCAAACTCTATGACCAGCCCTGAAACTTTTCATGTACTATACTTTTCTTCTTCTTTACATGGTTAAATGATGTTTTGATCAAAGGATTTAGGAGTTTTAAATTAGTTAAGGTTGACAAAATTACTGGCCAGAAACCCATCCTAGTTGTGTGCTTATCCACAGAAATACCTGACTGAACAGTTTGTTCTTGACTAGTTTTAATCCCAGGGTGACTCTCTTCCTTTGCCTTTATTCTCTTTTGTGCTCCTCTATCGGGTTAATAGTATCCCTTAGTTATCACAAACTGATCAAGTCCATGATCTCCCAAACGTGTATGGCAAAGACTAAATAAAAAGAGGTGAATGGACTGGTTTCAGGGCTCCAGGAGTTTCAAAGCCTTCTCACAGAATTCAAGATTTTTCTCAGGGCTAAGATCAAGACCTTCTCTGGGTGGCCTGTATTTATTTAGTTATCAGAAGAGGGGAAGGGAGTACTCAACAAGGGCAGAACCACTCAAGGACTTCTCCAAGTAAGGTATTCAGTTAATCCACCCAGGAGTGAGATGCCTGAAGCTACAGTTTTTATTTAGTTGAGGTTGGATCTAGGTGTCCTTGGCTATGATCTTGTTTTATCTTTTGAGGCATTTCTGCTTTACCCATCATTACAGGCCTTAGTAGGGATTAGTGACTCACAGAGGTTTGCTTACTGTGAGTTCACCACCCATCTCCAGACAAGGAGCCTAGGCCTTGGACAGACTCACAAGTAAACATGAAAAGCTCACTGGTTAATTTAAGTCCTGCTCAGGGTTACTTTGTAGTGGTCTCCATCACTCCTCTTTCCTCTCTTGCCCCCATAACCTAAATCTAGACTGGACCAGACATCTGAAGCATTGCACAGAGCAAAAGCATTGTGGCACCCCTTAGATTGGGCCCACCTCCCAGAGGGAGTTCTCCTATAGCTAGCACCGGCTCTACCTAGTACATGAGGGGTGTTTACTGAGCACCAAACCCAGAGCCTCCCATGTGCCAGGCAAGCACTCTACCATTGAGTTACATCTCCAGCCCTTTTTATTTTATTCTGAGGCACTCTCACTAAATTTCCTGGGCTGACCTTGAACTTGTGATTCTCCTGCCTCAGCCTCCCAAATAGCTGGGATTGCAAGCCTGCATCTTGGTGCTGGCTTAGCCCTATAACATTTTTGCTAGTCTTCACTACCCTACTTTTTCACTCATTATAGCTTTGAAAAGATGGCTATAGTTTTACCTGTCAGAAAAAACAAACCAGGTATGGTGGCACATAGCTGTAA